GAGGCGGGCTAGGCAAGGCACAGAGTATCCAAACATAGGCTGAGGTCAGAGCACCAGATAGGCAGAGAAACAAAAGCGTAATCCAAAATATCAGGTCACTTGCAATGTCTAAGGTTTACCGGAGATTGGCAGTCAGAGTTGTAAAGCCAAAAGCCGTTGTTCAGAGTCAGGTTACACATTCCAAGGTCAGAGAGCCAGAAGAATGATGTCACACATTCCAGAGTCAAAAAGCTGAGGGAGTCAAGCAGAAAGTCAGGAAACAAGATGCAAGGTCCGAGGTGCAGCGATTCAATCATGTGATCAGTTGCCAGCACAAATTGGATAGTGAAGAGAGCTGCCTTAAAAGCCCGTTCCCCTTGTCACTAATTACCAGCTGATTACAGAGTCCTGGCTCCAGTTAATACTCGGGACTCAGAGAATGCCTCCCACGTGTGCGTGCTTCCCTACGCTGGGTTGTCAAGCTCCGTCTCCTTTGGTCTTGTAAACGAGTTACAGGTGGGGGGGGGAATCAGGGAGCGTGGAGCTTGTGCTCGGCTCTGCAGGAGCAGCTCCAGGTATGAACCCTTCTGGTAGCTGGTGTTCATCCTCTGCAAGACTTAGGTTTTGTACTTCCAGGGGTGCAGGGAGCTCGTTCCTGGATGTTTAATGTGCAGAGTCCCCGGGAACAGGGTCCACTGGGTTGGGCGGCACGGTGGGCATGACACCTGGACTCTGACATGAGTTCCGAGTTTGGGGTTCATTATAGTCACAGTCACAAAGAAAAGGGGGGGTAATTGCTCACCGTTTTTGGCATCTCGGGAGTAGGGACCTGCTGCTCTGCATCGCTTACAGCAGGTCTGGTCCTTTTCCCGCAGGCTCTTCCTCACTACTCGTGTCTAGCTCCTCTGCTGGAACCTCAGCTTGTAGAGCTCGTTGGAACTTAGACCGGGCCACACTCTTCCGTGCCGGGGTGTCCGCCCGATTTTTCTCCTGCTCTTTCCTGGGCACTGTCGGGGTTCCCCCTCCCGGGCGGGTGGCTGCAAAGTGACCCGCTTCGCCACATCTCAGGCACAGACCTTGCTTCATGTGCTGGTCTCGCAAGCCCTCTTTGGGTTTAGGGGTCTTGGGTTTGACTGTTGGCAGTCCGACCTTTCCCAAGGTGGCTGCGTTGTCTATGCGGATGGTCCTCAGACGATTCTCCACGTCGGCCGCTTCCCGCATCCATGCATGGAGGGACACCGGTTGAACACTACGCAGGACTGCCTCGTTTATCTTGGGGTGCAGACCCAGCTGGTACTGCTCAGCCATCACACCATCTGGCCAACCCTGGATTTTCACGGCTTGCTTTTTAAACTCCTTGGTGTATTCACGCACTGTCTTCTTATTTTGCTTGAAGGTATGCAAGTAGGTGTACGTGTGTTCACTGGCATTCGGATCCTTGTACTGCGCACGGAGAGCCCACATGAATTCGTCCACTCACTCGAGTTCAGGACCCTCTGAATTATGAAGGCTCATGTACCAGTCCGCTGCCCCATCACGTAAGCGCGAGGCGATGTAGTCCACGCGCCTCTCTTCCGTGGGGAACAGATGGCCCCAGTTGGTGATGAACTTCTCCGCCCGCACCACGAGGAACAGCAGTTTCTCGGGTGTCCCATTGAAAGTGGCATCCAGTAGCTCAGTTGGCTTGTGTACCTCCAGCACATCCTGGGGTCAAGGCTCCGGCGCTTGTTCTCTAGGGGGAAGGGGGGTGGGTTGAGTCAAGCTGACAGACAAGCGTTAAGATCCAGAGACTCTGAGCAGTTTGTGTAGTGAAATTACTAACACCCTGGCTATGAGGGATGTGGCCATTAAAGCTTTAGTTGGCAGAGCATGACTTCATGGGATTGGCACAGTGCTGCATTGCTCTTTCAGTTGGCAATGTCCCTAAAGTATCCTTGGAGAGGTATATTCCTGAGGCCAGTCTAACTACAGGGCTGTCCACCACTGGAATTTTTAGTGACATTAGGAAGAAACAAATAAAGCCTTTTAGAACGCCAAACATGAAATCTTTGAGAAGGATGAGGGACACTTTTGATCTCTGTGGTTAAGAACCTGGGAAATGTAAAAATGGAGCCCATATCCCTGGAGTCTGACAGAACCTCCAGGTCAACGTCATCTGATTCTTTACATCCTGTGGCTGCTTTGCATGGGAACTAAGAGCATTTAGAGCCTTATAGAGGAGCCAAGGGGAAAGAAGGCATTTGCTGAAGAGGATGGGACTCTTTCATCAGACAGTTCCCATTTCTCCCTGACTGTGTCATGATCAGAATCTGCTAAGTTACAGAATACTGCTTATGGGATCTTAAGGATAAGGAGGATGAGGGTGCTCATAGCCTTCCAGAGAATGTGGGAGGGATGGTGGAAGGGGAGTGGGTCTGTCGACCTCTGAAAGAGCAGGTGAAGAAGCTGCTGAGTCCATAACTGTGGCTGTGTATGTGTGTGTATAGGGCTCAGAAGAGTAGTCAGATACAGAATCAAAAGGCACACAAAGGTTGGAACAACCTAAGAGTTCAATGAGCAAATGTTGCAGCTCTTTCCTTGTCCTCCTCTCGGGAGGAAGCAGGAAATACAACTGAGGATGTTGGATACTCCCTCTCCACTGGGTACAGAAGGACCAACCTACTTCCTGTCTCTAGGGGTTGTGGATAGGAGAGTACCCAATCATCACAGTGTTTTCCTCTGTTCAAGTGAAAAGATCAGTAGGCCTGTGTGTAGTATGTGGTTCTATAGAAGTCCAAAACATCTGCAGAATTTAGCATTGGCCAAGTTAAAGCTCCCAGGAATTTTGAGTACTGACTGTTCCATATGCAGTAGTTAAGATATGCTTGAAAAGTAATATGTAATACTTCAATGACATTTCATAGCCAGATTAAAAGTTTACAAGCAGGTAGAAAATAAGGTAAAATAGTAAATATTGGAAAATAATTTTTTAATTAATCATACAAAATTGCTTAATTCACATAATGGATATGGGTTGCAGGCCATCTTTCTGGTGACAGAGGCTGTGGTCACACACACTAAATCCACTTTCAATGCACTTTTCAACTGGATTTTGCCAGTTGCCACAGTAAAATCCAGTTGGAAAGTGCACTGAAAGTGGATTGAAAGTAGATTATTTAGTGTGTGTGACCACAGCCAGAATTTGTGTCATGATTTTGGGCAACAGATTACATAGAACTTTGATGTTAAGGAGTCTGTTAACAACAAACCTTATAGTAGTGAAGGAATTTCATAAAACAAGGTAGAGTTCAAGGTACTTTAATTTAAAAATTATGTCCTCAGCTTTATCCTTATTAAGGGTCACAGTTTTTTGAGTTTAAAATAATCAGTCTTGCGTGTTACTCTGCATATACTGAGAAGACTGTAATCTTTCTATGTGAGATGACAATTAGCTCAGTAGCACCTGTTTCAGATGCACATATTAGTAGGTTTTCTTTATCATACTTCCAGCTACATCATTTGTTTTTATCATTGAGTCTATATGGAGGAAGGTAGGGTATAAATGCTTTAAATACAACTGCCCCTCTGTAGTTACTTTAATGGTTTTACAATGGTCTAACTGCCACAGTATAATGCTTTTTGAAAACAGGAATGTTTCACCCTCAGCTAAATGCCCCTAGAATGCTACCTTATGATAAAGCCTTGTCTTTGCCATTTTCCTCTTCTTTACAATAGTTCTATTATATGCTGTAAATGCAGTGCACCTGTGGAAATTGTCATACCCAAAAATATACTTGCTGTAACGTTTAACTTAAAGAAAATATTCTACCTGGCTTTCTTTACTCTGTTTCTGTTGTATTAGAAGATGAATAGAGACATGCACAACATCTCTGCTGTTGGCCCATATTCTACTGGCCACATACCTCCAGGCTGTCTTCTGAGACCATGTATAAAGTTGCAGTATTGGAAGAATTCTGTTTCCATGGCTGGCATCTCTTATTCATGCAGTTCTCTCCATGATAAAGTTTCAACTCTGGCCCCTAGTGTGGAGGCTAGGAACACTTTGAACAAACCTTTCATTACCGTCAGAATGCATTGCAGGGCTACATCAATGCACCTCACATCTGTGTTCTCTTTGTGGTGTTGGTTTTTGTTAAAGGAGTGATGTTTTAAGAAACATTTTGATGCACTTAAAATATATTTTACCTAGGCTTAGAATTGATTGTGATTTTGCACATAGGCCTGTCAGCATTATTATGAAGTTAGATGCTATTGTTGTTTGGGGTTTGCACCTACTGAAAACATATAAAGTTTTCTCTGGGCAAGTTCTAAGGCTCGACTTAACCACAATAGGGCTCTTACATAGTTGGCAGTTTGTAAAATGAGATAGGGAAGCAGCATGGGTAGAAGATGGGAAGACAGAAGTTGGAGAAAGTAACCAAAGCAGAAATAACTTGAACCTAAAATACACTAGTCCAGTCTCATCAGAGTTTGGAAACTAAGCAGGGTTGACCACAGTTAGTATTTGGATGGGAGACCACCAAGGAAGATAGGGGTTTCCTGTGCAGAAGAAGGAAATGACAAAGTTGGTTGCAAGTTGATGGCACATAGTTACACACAGAGTCTCTTGATTTTCCTTTGGTGAACATGCTGTATTCTTGCAAAGCTGTTTACTATTAAATATAAAACTTCTAAGTAAAATTTTAGAGAGACATTTTAAAATATCTAGTAGTGATCATGCCCTGCCCATCTTTAATAAATTTCCAACCTAGTTTCTATGTTTTTTGGTATAATTAACATAGGGGCTAATCCAATCGCCTGTTGCATCTTCCCCTCTCCTTTTCCCAAGCATGGTGCAGGAAATCACTTCCACCCTATCAGTAGTTTTCTTCTGAACAGAACTGCACATTCTTTGTGATATTCATAGAAGTGTATGCAACTAGATTAGTCCTTTTAATTTATTTAAAATAGTAGTTGTGTTAGGTTCAGCTATTTAATCTATATTTTTTAATAATTTAATTTTAACTGACATTTTCCTTTAGGGATTCTACAAATGAAACTACTGCACATTCAGATGCTGGTAGTGAACTTGAAGAAACTGAACTGAAGGGGAAAAGAAAACGTGGTCGTCCTGGCAGACCTCCAGTATGATGCTTATTTTTCTTTGAATATATATTTTTAGACTGTACTTCATTCTGAATGCTTTAATTATTAAATGAATAATTCTTTATAAATAAATCTGTGAGAAGACATAATATGTAGTGAATAATTGGTATGGAGCAATGTGTGAATCTATAATGGGAAGCTAACTTACAAGATTGTTAACTTTTACATTTTTGTTTTTAATATCAGTTTTATATACTGTAGCTATTAAACAGCATTTAGAACTTGGAGCAGGTTTGTTACTATATAGATATAAAATGTTTATGAGGAAAAAGATTTAGTAATATGATGAATGTGACCTGAAGATTAAAAGATTTTGCTTTTGCATGGTGAAGTGTACTAGAGGTGTTAGAAGCACAGTATTTTTCATTCTGCTCTACTATAGTAATCCTATTATGGGGGAGTTTTTTAGTTGTTCAGAAGTTTTAGAAGATGGTTTTTAAAGGATTTTAGAGCATCATTAATTTAGTTTATGTAGGTAATCTCATGAACTCTAACCTACCTTCATACTAGATCCACTTTATATTCTCTACATTCCCTTAGTATTTATAGCTCTTGCTGCCCCCATCCCTCTAAGGCTTTCCCCCTTCATCCTTCCTTTATGAACATTTTTTGCAGCTTTGGCCATTATGATGACTTTTTGGTAGCGTTTTAAGTAATGCCGTTGCCTCAGGACCATACTCTACAATCACATACATCCCTGTAGATTATTTTCAGTGACTGCTTTGGTTATATACCCTTAAATTTTTCCCCAGACTCTGTTTGTTTGTGTGTGTGTGTGTGTGTGTGTGTAAATTAGATTTTCTGACTCAACCTAAATGTTATAATTGTCCAAGTGTAACATTACATATGCCTAGGTTGAACAGGCAATTAAATATTTACTTTTCTGTGTTAAATTATAGTTGGTATAGAGATTTCAGAGAATCACAACAATGTAACTGTTCCAGCATGCCTCTGATGTACAGCACTGAGCTCTAGTAGTCATATCAAGATCAAGGCTGGTTCATTTTCATGTCTTCTGTGCAGCCCCACATGGGACTGGTTCAGAGCAGACCTGCCGCAGAGCTTCTAGAATTTACAGCTACTCAGCTTCCCCTCAGCTCAGCAGAGCTACAAGCTCTGTTCCTGCCCAAATGATCATCTGATGAGGGGTGGAGGGAACACCTTTCCCTCAGTTCTTTTTCTGCCGCCGTGGAGAAAGAATATGCTGCAGCTTCAGAAACATTTCTTTGACATACTTGTATTTTTTTCCTGACCATTTCCTATTTACGATAATATAGATGGCACCTTTCAAGAAATGCCACAATAGTGGCACGAAAATGGCACAAAATGATGACCATGACTAGCACCTCATGTGCTTGGGAGAAAGGCACAACACGTCTTCATGTCAGGCATGTAGCTTCTTCACTCCGAAAGCGTGGCAAGAAAGGGCTCTTCACCTCAAGGCTGCTTTGTGGGAGCAGTTACTTGGGGATCTTCGACGTGGTCTCTGTGCTTCACACCCATGGGATCTAGTGCCCACGCACTGGATCGATCGGTGCTGTAGCAAGCTCTTTTCAATGGATTTTCGCACCCAGTCCCTCCAGGCATGCGCAGGAACCCCACCGCGCATGCCCAGAGGGGTGGGCGCGGACATCCTGCCAGTTCCTTTCTTACCGCCGCATTGGAAAGACCTCTTTCTCCGATGGTCTGATTGGTTCGCTGAATAGCTTCTATCAAAACCACTCAGCTCTTCAACAATTCTTTATTCTTTTGCTTAATTTGTTCTTCGCTCTTCAAAAATCGTAAAAAACAAAACAAAAAAACCTTTATTTTCTGAGGGGAATTTACCTCAGGACTTCGGGCCACCCCCCCCCAAACGTTTATCTCCGTACCACTTCTTATGGAGAAGAAGTGGGGATTTTTTAATAGGTGCCAGTGTTGCGGAGCCAAGCTTGCCCCTCCTGACAGGCATACCCTTTGTATTTTTTGTCTTGGGGAGTCACATAAACCTGAATCCTGTCGTGCTTGTGCTCGTTTCTCGAACCAAACGAGAAAAAACCATGCCGCGTGCCTTAAGGTTGCTCTCCTGGAATCAGCGCTCGCCCCGGCCTCAGCCATGGAAGAGAGGCCGTCCACATCGACAGCTCCAACACCGAGACCTGCCTCCAATGTCGACCGTCCGACACCGAAACACCCGACATCGAAGGCACGATCCTCAGCCTCCACGCCGGTAAAAAAGAAGGCTAAGGCAAGTGTGGAGAACAAGTCCGCTAAGAAGGGCTCCTCCAAGTCCCTTAAGGCGACGAAGAAGGGGAAAGAAGCGGTGCCTGCACTGGGTAATGCCACAGTGGTGCCTTCCGCTCCAACGGTGGTATCGATATCGGGGACCCAAGCTCCTCCACTGATACCGACCATCCAGGTCCTGGATTCCCCCATCCATCAGACGGAGCCTCCTTACTCCGATGTTGAAACGGTGGAGCTCCTAAGTCACCAGATGGTTGCAGAGCATTCCCCGCCTCCATCTCTGTCGTCGACGTCGTCGGTGTCTGAAGCTCCCGACGTTGAACTACCTCGACATTGATACACGACTCCTGGCAAGCACCATCATCCTCTATCTCTCCACGCTCATACGGTCGATATCGACGCTGGAGAGTACAGAGACCCGTCTCGCAGACAAGCGTCCGCTTGCTCTCCCAGACGTCCACAGTCCAGAAGTCGATCACCAAGAGTCTTTATACCCCCTCCACCTCCGATGTCGTGGGATCAACATCAGCTGCGTTACCTTTATGGGGCATATCCACCATCCCTACCGTGGTTAACGCCTGCTGATTATTCCGATTGGGACCGCTATTCTACCCAATCAGTTCATCGGTCAAGAGCTCCATACAGGTCAAAACCTTCGGCTTCCCTGTCACGTCCGCCTATAGTCGATCCGCCCCACCATGCTTCGGAGCCAAGTCGTCCACTACTCCCTCCTGTCAACACAAACCCTGTCTTCCCAGACCCAGTCGTTCCTGTTGTCCAGCCTGATCAAGTCACTTGTCCACAGGACCAGATGGGCCGAGATTCTTTTGACTCCCTCCAGGAAGACTCAGATACGGAGACTTCTGAAGTTCACACTTCTGACCATAAGTCTCCAAACCCAGATATTTCTGAGGACTTACCTATATCTCCTTCAGATAACCTGACATCTTATACAGATCTGATGAAAAGAATGGCTCATTCCCTGGGTCTCTCTGTTGTCCAGCAACAGCATCAGATGTCAGACACAGTCTACGATATCGTTCAGCTCAATGTCTCTTCCACCCTAGCATTACCTATGTCTCCGGTTCTCCTCCAGGCAGTAAAGTCGCCATGGTCGAAACCCTCTTCAGCTCCTGTGTCCACAAGAAAGTTGGACCAGAAGTATAGGGTACAGGACACGGAAGCAGAATTTCTCCTTTCTCATCCTCAACCTAACTCCATGGTCATTACGTCATCCTCAAAATCCAGGAAGACGCATTCCACCCCTACAGATAAGGAGGGAAAGAACAGGATGGAAACTAGGTCAAGGAGCCATCACTATATAGGAAAAACATAAGGACATCCTATTTTGGAGTAGCCAGTGGATGCTAAGTGTTCAGATATAATGTTCTTTCGGTTTCCACTAGAAGTGCTGCTTTTTAAAAAAAGAGGATTTGTACTTACCTTTGTCAGACTGTGTGGATCAGGCCAAAGGCCCATCCAGTCCAACACCCTGTGTCACACAGTGGCCAGAAATACCAGTGCCATCAGGAGGTCCACCAGTGGGGCCAGGACATTAAAAGCCCTCCCACTGTTGACCCCCCCCAAGCACCAAGAAGACAGAGCATCACTTGCCCCAGAGCCCCTATCTATACCTTGTGGCTAATATCCACTGATGGACCTCTGCTCCATATGCTTATCTAATTCCCTTTTGAAGCCGTCCATTGGTCATTACGTCATCCTCAAAATCCAGGAAGACGCATTCCACCCCTAGAGATAAGGAGGGAAAGAAATTAGATGCCTTCGGCAGACGGTTTTATTCCACTGGAACATTGGCAGTCAAGGCCGCCAACTACCTGGTCTGCATGAATCGATACCAGTACACTCTTTGGGAACGACTCTCAGAACACCTCTGTCATCTTCCAGACGATAAACAACAAGCTGCCAGACTCATACAAAGAGAGGGCATGGTGTTGGCGAAACAACAACTCAACACCATTAAACACGTCCTCGAGGCATCGTCAAGACAAATGTCTTCTGCAGTAGCTCTCAGGAGGCATTCCTGGCTCAGAAGTACTAACCTTCCAATAGACACCAGGTCCTACGTGGAGGACCTACCCTTTGATGGCCTTGGGTTGTTTCATGCCGCAACCGATAATGCTCTTCAAGAGCTAGATAAAAGTATAAAAGCATCCAGGGCTCTAGGAGTTTCATCCTCTGGAAAACAACAGTATCGCCATCGTACTTGGTCAAGATCTTGGCAGAGACGTACTCCTACACATCAGTCTCCTGACACACGTTGGAGACCAAGATCATCTTCTGGAGGCCAGAAACCCGCCTTCCAAAAACCGAAATTCGGTTCAGGCCAACAGGCTTCACGCAAACAGTCAAAACCACCCAAACAGAGTTTTTGACTTCCCTATCACCGAGTCAGCAATTACCCGTCTATCACCCTTTCTACACACCTGGCGACACATCACCTCGGATGAGTGGGTGCTTGCCATCTTGACCCGAGGTTACAAGATCAAATTCATCCAGAACCCCAATACACCAGTCGTCGTCTCCACGCCCCCTTCCCCACCTCTCCTCGAGGAGGTGTCCGTCCTTCTGCAGAAGGGAGCCATCGAATAGGTACCACCACACCTCCAAGGGACGGGATTTTATTCCCGATACTTCACAGTCTTGAAGAGAGATGGAGGTGTTCGACCCATATTAGACTTAAGGGAACTGAACCGTTTTCTGACCTACCACCGCTTCCGCATGGTATCCCTACAACA